TCACAGAAGTATCTACAATAATTCCAGCGTTTCTCAGCGGTAATGGTAAATTTACAGTCCACCTATGTGCATATATACATATGCATGTAAATATTTAAAAGTAAGATTTTTTCCCCTTCATTTGCATAATTTACATATAGGAGCATTGAATGTGTCCACCATCCTAGTCACAGATTCTCACAAAATCCTACTGGAATTCTTCCCAATCTTCCTTTGGACTCACTTGCCTGAATAGCTTGGTATCATCAGAATACTCTTAACTTGCTTGCTCACCTCGGCGACCCCCTTCTCCATGCACATGTATATGTCCCATGTGTTTGCAAGCATCTCCATGTGACCGTATACATCCCCAGTTCGGCACAGATCTGTGCAGAACTTGCTTCCAACTTTCTGACATTTAAAAAGCTTAAATTGTATTGTATTTCATATTTCAACCAACTGTTTGAACATAAGCCAGCAGTGTGCCCTGTCAGGGTAAAGGGCAGCAGCATCCACGGTGGTATCAGCAGGGCACAGCGGTAGGTCGAGGGCAGTGATTATCCCTCTACGCTGCACTCACTAGACCTCATCTAGATACTGGATGCAGTTTAGGGCCTCCCAATACAAGATATTCTTGCATTCCTCATGGACTCATGGTCATGACGAATGAGAGTTTGACTCCAAGATACCCTTTTGGCTAGTTATCTGCATGGAACAGATAGCAGGCATCTCATTTCTGTGATCGGAAAAATATTAATTTAAATTAGGCTTAAGGGTTATTTCTTTAGCTGGAGAATAAGAAGTTGTTAATTGAAAAGGCATGTAATCTATTTTCCCGTAAGATTCTATCTGAACTGTAAAATATTTTGAATATTAAATCAAAGAGCATCTAGCAGATGTTCCATGCAGTGATGCGGCCATTTGCTTTTTTAGCGATTTTTTTTTCCTTCTGAGAAGAAATTTTTGGACTACAGAATGATAAATCATGTATTTTCATTGCACAAAAACTTCTGAAGTGTGACTTTTTAAAGGAAATAGTGAAAAATCCAATTACGGAATCACATAACAACACTAAAAAGCTATAGAGTTAGCCCAGGTAGTTTTTTTAAGGGGCTACAACTTACAGTGATGAGTTATGCTTCAACTATATTTACATAGAGCAATAGTCACATCTAGTGGCCAAACAAGTTCATTATTTTTAAATATTTCGCACAGCTCATCTGAAAATTAGCATTTGTATCAGATCAGTGTCAGTTCAGTATCAAGATGCTGTTTTCTATTTGAACTGAAGAGCAGGCATCTTAATGAGATTTGAAATATCCTTTTAAGCAAGATGCACATATACCCACATATGAATATGCTTATATATACTTCCATATATATACTTAAATATACTTATATATACTTCTTAATTCTGAATAATGTAAAAGCAATAAAAAAAACACTAAAGGAGGGAAGAAAAAATTCAACAGTCATCCAAAGTTGCATACAGGTATAGGTTCAGTACAGAACTTTTTTATTTTGGCAGGGGGCCAGCAGACAATGAATACTATATATGCTCATGAACCCTAGTCAAATTTGATATATAAAATGGAAAGATATTCAGAAAGACAAAGAGTTTGTTCTTTTTATGCCCTTGTAAGCAGAAATACCATCCAGAGATTTGCTGTGTATATCATATGCACAGAATACTTTAAATAACTAGTACTTCTGGGCACATCGAGCTTATGGATCAGAATGTTTCTTTCTTGGCTAGCCAGCATAAGTTGTTCTTCTGGTGAAAGGGAGGCCTACCTGAAAAAAAAAAAAAAAAAGAAGAAGAAGAAGAAGAGGAATCCTTTCCATAGACAGGGGCCCCAAGCCTACTGCTCCACAGAACTTCAGGGAAGTGAGGCTAATTTCTCTGATTCCCATAGTGCCAGAACCTGATCAGCAGCATCTGGTCCTTCAGCCCCCCAGCCAGAAGGCAGGAGGTGGAGCTAACTATGGATGAGCTGTGACTCTGCTCGCAGTCTGGCCATACACATGACGGATCAAGAATTTGCCTGACCCTGCTCTTGTTCTTTGGGCTCTCTCTGAGGGATGAGACAGGCGGGATGGGTTTTCAGATGGTCCAAAAACAAAGCCTCACAGATAGGCCAGGAACAAGTTGCAAACAACAGTCAACTGTTCCAGAAAGTGATCTAAGTCCAACCAGCTACATGGAGGGTTGAATCATATCATCTTTCACTAATCCGAGCACAGTTTACACCTGCTAGGTACTACAGGGTTCACCACACAGAACTATCCTGCACAGCCAGGTCTCCCTCTTAAGTCCAGGATCCCTACCAGGATACAAAGGCATGCAACACTCACTGCCTTTCACATCAGCCTGACATTCACTCTTTCAATCATGTCTACACTGTATTCCTTGAGGACCAGTCCTCCCAAATTTCTCTGTCTCATGGTGAATGGGTCTACTAAGAGTGTGTATCTAAATATATGTAAGCTATTTGGAAATCTGAGATACAGGATTTGGATAGCATGTCCACAGAATCGGGACCTAATTGCAGGATTTGGATAGCATGTCCACAGAATATCTCCTAATCGTAGGGCTTCAAGTTCTTCTATATTGGGTAATCCAGAACAAAATTGCTACAGCACATTGTGAACAATATCCTCCTTCTGTGGGAGCTGGAAATAAGTCATACTATAACCACAGGGTAAAATCTTTCCATTGTTCCTGTTCCTGTATTGCATGAGGCTCCAAGTTTGAGGGTATTCTGGTTTCTAGTACATGACATAAATTCAAGGGAACGCGTCATTCCTGGGTCAGGCTTACTTTCTGGGTTAAAAGCAAAGAGAGAAGTTCTGAATCACAGAGCTTCTATTAATAATATCAATGTGAAAATACAATGAGGCACACCAATGTACATTTGTAGCATTGCCAGCTTGAAAATCTAATCGCTTGGACTTGATCTAGCTAATCTACTCTTTATCTAGCTTCATTCAGACTGTACAAAGAAATCTCAATTACCACCAGTAGCATATATCGCACTCAAACATTTCTTGACAGCTCTTTTCTTAATGCATGAAAGAGAAAGAAAAGATGGTGCTTTTAGGCTTGAATTGAATCTGATATGACAGTTAAAGCAGTTTGCTCACCACTGGTGTAGCACATGGCACTAACTGATGTAAGAAGCAGCCACAGCAGGTTTTGCTCTGAGGCACAGAAATACTTCCTGCAACTTGTCACAGGCTTATTGATCACTACAAGCATTTGCATTTGCTTATTCTGCAGCAAGAAACTGCACTGGAATGAAGCCGCGCGGCAGACATGCAAACAAGACACAGTCAGATCCAGCATGTATGTTGGTAGTTTTGTTCCCTTGTTTGTTCTGTTTTCTCTATTTTAAGGCACTGCATTATGTTCATGATAAAAGACACAGTAGAATGCAGCCATTTGTCTTGGGTGGTTATGTCTGCAAACGCTCCCAGAACAGCAGTCTGTCAAAGGCTGGTCCCTAAAACAGCCAACACCACTTGTGATTGAGTGCCATTATTACGAAGACTTAGTAAAAAGCACACTTATTTTTTTTATCATACACAACTTGAATTAGTTCAACAATGCACAGAAAACTGCTTAACTCTTAGCACTGGTTCATGTTTTTCGCCTGGTGCCACTCACAGTGGAAAGACTGTGCAATCTAGGATATATTTCTGAGCTTAGTTTATAAATGAAGCCCTGGTTTTATACTAAAAAAAGATGAACAATTTTTAGTTTTGAATGTTTGCTGCCCTCAAGAGGAGAACTTTAAAAAATACTGACTTTGTTACATTGCTCTATTGAATGTAATTATTGAAGGGTGCTGGTTTTATATTTTACAAGACAAAAACACATCCAAGCCTTTATATTTATTTCTGGCTCAATGTGACTTAAGAGCTTGCACCATCTGAACCACACAGCTTTAGAGTTATTTTTATATCAGATAAAAAGAAAAAAAGAAAAAAAAAAAAAAAAGAGCTGTAACCTCACCCTGCCACCACTAACTTTCAGTCTTGAATTTCAGTGTTCCACGATTGCTATGAAGTCACAAGAGATACACAGTAAGGTATTTATCATTTGAAGGGGATGTCAAAAGGTGCTTTTTTGGACAATATATACTATATACAAGCACAGAGATGGATCAGTTCTCAAATCAAAATAAATCTCTAGGGTAAACTTTAATCACAAGATTTCTGAGTGTTCAGAAAAAAAAGAGGTAAAACAGTTCTCATGCACATTTATGAGACAGTTGGAAACATGATTCACAAAACCTGGTAGCATAATCAGGAATCTACAAATCCTGGTTTTAACTATCTGCTGTCCCCCTCCCAGTGTCACGTTTTTCATTATGCCCCAATTAAGTACTTCTCATTCTGACACTGAAAACCTAAGAAACCTTTTCCGTGTGGAATACAGACACATTAAAGAGGCATATATTAAAAATATGTAAAATCTTTAGCAATATGTAGGGCTCTAGAGTATGTAGACCAACCTTTCAGGGTCCCTTTCAATACAAGAACTAGCAGCAAATTCAAAACAGATTCAGATGGCTCATCATATACTGAGCAATGAATCTACAGTATTTCCTGACAAAGGGTTTTCGATGGAACAAGTTTTCATGGGTTCAGATGGAGACTAAACAAGAATTTGTAAGCAGTAACCCATTTAGGGTTGCTAAATACACAACCTCATCATGTTCAGGAACCTGAGCTGAAAATAGGAGTTTAGAAGGGCATTCTGAAATATCGTTTATGTTTGCCCAGGGCTGGCTCCTCTCTTGATGTCTGCTAATGGCCTTTACTGAGAGACAGGATACCAGAACAAATAGATCCATCAATGATTCTTATTTTTCTGAAATATATTCTTCAAGCACAGGTAAGTAACCTGAGGAATTAGCGTGGCAGTTGGTGCAGGCAGGGTGCAGGGAGCCTCCTGCCGGCTCAGGAAGAGAGCCCTCCCCACAGTCTCTTCCGTCAGCGGGAATCCAGGTGAAGCCATGGTCTCTACTCGGCAGAGAGCCTCCGCCAGGAAGACTGTGGCGATGCAGACCGAACCACCACAGAAACATGTGGCTATCCGGATCTCTGGCTGCGAGGAGTGTCTGAGACCAGACTATCAGGGAGTAGCAAAAATAACACCTGCCTTAGGTGTGAGCAGGTGGATAACCTACTTAGCCTGGTGGTGGAGCTGAATGAGGAGCATTAGAGAGCATGAGAAAGAAATAGACTGGTGAAGCCACACTCTGCAGTCTTCCCAGGCAGTGAACCCAGAGGACCCCCGATTTGGTCTGAGAATCCACTACCCCCTTACCATAGAGCAGAGGGGGCAGAATTAACAGTATCAAGTCATGAACAGGAATGGAAACAGATCCCTGTTTGAGGTGGCAGGAGAACCCTTTCCTGTTACTGTTTCACGTGGGCACTAATGATGCCATGGGGAAACTGAGTAACATCAAATGATTTCAGAGCCCTAGGAAAGGCAGTCAAAGGTCTGGGTGCCCAGGTTGTGTTCTCCTCTTCCTTGCCAATGAGGGGAATGTGTATGAGGAGGAAAAGGTGGATATTACAGGTTAAAAACTGCTGCTGGTCTCAGCAAAAGGGTTTCGGTTTCTATGACCATGGGACTCTGTTTGAGGATCACCAGCTGGTGGGGAACGATGAGAGCCACCTCAACAAGAGGAGCACACATGTCTTTTCCAAAAGGTTGGCCAGCCTGGTTAGGAGATCTTTAAACTGAACAAGGAGAAGGACGGGGAGTGTTACATGGACAGGGCAATCAGTGTCAGTGGCAGCCAAAGCCAAAAGGTGTCCAGAAGGAGTATGGTAGTGGGGAAGTGAGGATAGGAGATGGTTATAGAGGGTCCTCTTTCACCCCTCCTGGGAAACCCGAAGGCTCAATTACTTCCCTTAAATGCCTGTATACCATTGCACGTAGCATGGGGAATAAACAGGAGTTAACTGGAGATCTGTGTGCGGTCCCGGCATCATGATGTCATTGGAATTACAGAGACCTGGTGGGACAGCTCACATGACTGGAGTGCTGCCACGGAAGGCTATGTGCTCTTTAGGAAGGACAGGCTGGGAAGGCGAGGTGGTGGAGTTGCTGTTTATGTGAGATAGCAACTGGAATGCATGGAGCTCAACCTGGGGGTGGATGATAAGCAAGCTGAGAGCCTGTGGGTAAGGATTACAGGGCAGACTAATGTGAGAGACACTGTGGTAGGCGTTTGCTACAGGCCACCTGATCAGGATGAGGAAGTTGATGAGGCCTTCTACAGACAGCTAGAAGTAGCCTCACGGTCACAGGCCCTGGTTCTCATGGGAGACTTCAACCACCCTGACATGAACTGGAAAAACAACACAGCCAGGCACAACCAGTCCTGTAGGTTTCTGCAGAGCATTGATGATAACTTTTTAGCACAGACTGTGGAGGAGCCAACGAGGAGAGGTGGGCTACTGGACCTCATACTAACAAATAGAGAGGGACTTGTTGGAGATGTGAAGGTGGGGGGTAGCCTCGGTTGCAGCGACCATGAGCTGGTTCAGTTTAGGGTCCAACAAGGAGGAAGTAGGGCTGTAAGTAGCCTTGCAACCATGGACTTCAGGAGGGCCAAATTTGGCCTGTTTAGAGACCTCCTCAGAAGACTCCCATGGGCTAAAGCTCTAGGAGGAATGGAGGCCCAAGAGAGCTGGTCAGTATTCAAGCAGCACTTCCTCCACGCTCAGGAGCAGTGCATCCCTTTGAGTGAGAAGTCAGGTGGGGGGCAGGAGGCCTGCATGGATGAGCAAGGAGCTGCTGGCAAAACTCAAACAGAAAAAGTGGAAAAAGAAAGTGGAAAAAAAGGACAGGCTCCTTAGGAGGAATATAGTAATATTGTCAGGGAATGCAGGGATGTGGAGGAAAGCTGAGGCACATTTAGAACTAAATCTGGCAAGGGATGTTAAAAATAACAAGAAGAGCTTTTCCAGATGTATAAATGGTAAAAGGAAGATTAGGCAAAATGTTAGGCACGCTGGTGAACAGCATGGATGCCTCGGTTATGAAAGACACTGAAAAAGCAGAGTTACTGAATGCCTTCTTCGCTTCAGTGTTTACCAAGGGCAGCCCTCTGGAATCCCAGACTCTAGAAACCAGAGTTCACAAATGTTCAGAAATGTTCAGAAATGAACAAAATGAACTTTCCTGGAAGCATCCAACAATTTCCTGGTGATGCTGTGTTTTTGTTTGTTTGTTTGTTTGTTTTTAGTGAAACTACCAATAGATTTACAAAATTCTTTGAAACACCTGCTTAGTCCATACTTTGTTTTCAGAAAACTGAGGAGTAATAAAAAATAGAATTGGGGAGCAACTTAAGAAACCCCAGACAAACAAACAAACAAAAAGAATAATCTCAAGCTTTACTTTCAAGGCATAATCTAAATATTTTCAGGTATCATTCCATCTTTCTACTATAGAGTACTTTAATTTTAGATGTTCTTTTAGTCTTATGTTGCTCAAGAATTTATGCTAAGGGTTCATATATCATACAGTTAGCAAAGAGCAGGCCTGCAACAAGCCATTCATTTTCTAGTTTATTAAGAGTTGCAGACAGTGATAGGTCTTATGTTATTTAGCTGATGCAGATTTCAACAGCACATTTTGTACCAAATACATGTGTATGTGTATAACACATTGGGGAAAAACAGAACAGTACCATGCAGATCAAGAACAGCATAGACTATAGACTATGCATTATTAAACAAACAGTAGCAAGATGAGAACATTATTTGTTTCATGTTGGGGAAAAAAGAAAACGAAGGGAAGGGAAGGGAAGGGAAGGGAAGGGAAGGGAAGGGAAGGGAAGGGAAGGGAAGGGAGGGCAACTGAGCAGAAGGAAAAAGAGCGGGAGGAAATAAAAAAAACAGTCAGATACTGGACCTTATAATTTCTTCTTATACCTTCCCTTCTCTAGTCCACGTTGCTACATGTCTGTCTCTGTGACCTTGGAAACAGACAGTGAAGTCCCCACTACTACTTTACCTAAATATACAAAACCTTTGTAATGTCTTTAAACTTTGGAATACTTTGTAATGTCTTCAAACTTTGTAATGTCAAAAGAGGTGAACTCCTAACACAACCAAAGAAGTTTCTACAGGTTGGTCTGAGGTTTGTAGTTTTCTGTGTCTTAAAACAGAGATAAATTTCCATTGAGTATTTCTGCATGATGATATATAGAACAACAGAGATAGGTTTAAATGAGGTTTATAATGTTCTGGGGCATATGGAGGCTGCTGTGACCACATTAAGAACCATTCATTGTTGAAGAGATTTCTCACAAAAAAAAAGAAAAAAAAAACTTTTATGCTTATGTTGCAACCCTCAGAGTTTTAGCAGATATGGCAAACCTTCAGAAACAGCTTGTAAGGATGTGTAATCTGCATTCCACAGCAAAAAAATTAGAACTGCCATATGCAAATCTGTAATAGTGTTCAAGATACTTGCAAAAGACTCTTGCATTCATAAACTTAAAAAGAAACACAGTTGCAGTGCCTGACAAAAAACTGATTAATCAAAAGCTTAAGAACTCCCTAACGTCTTTCATCCAACAAAGTAAACACTGTTGCAACGCTAACTACTTTAACAGACACTATTAATATAGTACTCCTGTACTTGCAGGAATTTAATATAACAAAAATCAATGTGAAACTGTATTGAAGAGATGATATTTATATTAAACAAAAGTAAGCAAAAAAGGGGCAATTTACCCTCATTATCTCATAGATTTTACTTGCTAACACCCCCATATTGACATGCATCTGGGTGTGTGTGTCCTAATGGACACGACACAGGGGACAAGAAACAGGAATAGTCACGTCCTAACTACACCTCTATAGATTTCCCCAGAGACAATAATTTTGGGGCTTAGCTCTTATGCCCTTTCGAAACCAGTAATTTTGGCATGACCTTTCACCTCACAGTTGTGCTTGCTTCATCTTCCATAAAACTTTGGCAAGGTTGCTACTCACCGGGTGTGTTTCCCCATATGTGTATCTTCACAACTAGAGTCTGTCTTCCTGTTGGCACAAAAGGGATGACACACGCAGCGTGGCTGCCACACTCCTGTCATTACAGCTCTGGTCTTCTGGTGACAAGTCATCCTGTGGTGGCCTTCTGGTCTTCAAGTCAACAACACATTCCTATGTGTTTACCACTTTGACTACTGTCAATCAGGTCTTTGTCTATCGGTAGAGGTTGTTCTTTAATTTGCTTAGTATTGTTCCAGTGCTTTCACATGCATACCTTTCCATCCATGATTCATTCTATCTATTTTAATATTGCTGTCACTAATCTCTATGTGCCATGCAAGACCAAGTCTGGGGAGAAGGTTCAGCTCTGTTTCAAGATTTGGAAAAACCTGAAAAGTTAGTGAATCTGCACACTCAGATGTGAGAGTATGTTTTTACATTCAGCAATTTCTTCACTCACTCCTGCAGCAAAGTTAGAAGTTCTAACCACCTTTCTGGTATCTGTCCTCCCCCGAGGAAAGCATGGTTGTGTCAGATTCATTTATGCTATTATAAAAAACATATGTTGACTTTGAATGCTGTCCAGTTAGAAATCAGAATGAAGGTCATACGTGTCTGCTAAATCTCCTCCTCGTTTTGTGTATATCTCAGCCATAAGTTAACCTTGCAGTTCCCACTGATTTCTTTGACAGTCTCTCTTATTTCCCAGCTGTGGAGCAAACATAGCATTTTCATAGGGAAAGTAAGTTTCAAAAAAGTAACTTTGCTATTGAATGCCACTTCCAATAACTCAGGTAATTTCTGAGAAAGCAGGTTCCTTATAGAGACAGCTGCCAACTGCACTTGAAGGTGGTCTTCAAGGCTCTTTGGACTGGAGGTACAATTCTCTTTCTCTCTTTTTACACTGAAGTGGAAAAAATGAAATGTAAAAATGACTTTTTAGATACACTGTGGAGAAAAAGGTGACTATGTAGTTTGGTTTTCTGCTTTTATCCTTAGATTAAAAAAAAAAAAGAACCATAAGAGTAATTTCATCACACCTAGCACCTAGAAAGACCACTAGATGTACAGTATAAGGTTGAATTGGTACTGAGCTTATCCACAGTTTTTTTGCTGAGGCCAGTTTCTTGCTACATGAACACTACCTTCTTACTTTTTCAGCTTAAACAAATTTTAAATAGCATTATTGAGAAAATGTTTAAACACACAATGAGTTCTCCATATGGATATAATTTTAGACTATTTTTAACAATTTAGTAAATGAGAACATGGCCTAAAACCTTTAGCTGGGGCCCAAGAGTCTGTATACGGAGAATCATAGGAATTGATTAATTTTTCTTCAGATACCTCCCAAGGGCATATTTGAAATATGTTTATGTGGGATAATAATAAAAGCCAGTTGACTAATGATCTTGCTACCCGTATTTAGCAAAGAACGAATATGGTTAAAAGACCCAAACTGATTAAAAAAAAAAAAAAGAAAGAAAGAAATGAAAGCTGAGAATACAATGCTAGGAAGGAAAGTGGAAAGAGGAAAAAAATATCAAAAGTAAGATGGATATATAATTCTCTCTGTGAAGGACTGTTGAAGTGCTCACTGTGTAAGTCTGATACTTTTATTCATGCTGAAATAATCCACTCTAATCGCTGAACAAAAGTAGTAAAACTGAACTATGCCCCAAAATCTTTATCAACTAGAGACACAGAAAAGCTTCCAGGATTGTACACACTTGGGCACTTTCTGGATCACAGCACAGAGTCTAGTAACTAAAATCCAGATGGGCTGGCTGCCAGAGCGCACCCCAAACCCTCGGCCGAGTGACCAGGGCTCCTATGCAATGCCATAGCTCAATAGTCTGTTTAAGATAAAGCTGTGCTGCCCCTGCAAGGGATGACCCATCTCCACTTGTGCACCCCCGTACGCTTTCAGGACAAAACCAGCCCTGGAGCCTGTACCAGGCTCCTGGAAATGAATGTCTTCTGTGGGATAGTTTTCATCTAGATTTATTCCTTGATCTGGTCCATGATGCAGACACTCAAGCACAAGGGACTGTGGAAGGAGGAGAAGAGTGACTGGCCAAGGGCAGAGCCTGCAGGGAGTAGGGAAACCGGTCCTTCTGGAGGACCTGTGTTGACTCACACTTGCCTTGGACCAAGGAGAGGCCATGTGAGTGAACAGGTAGCCACATAAGCCAAAAGGATGTGGCAGGAATTAGGTACATCTTGACATTCATGTCTTTCAAGGATCAACTATCCCGAGAAAAAAATGGAAATTACATACCAGAGTAAATCCTTTCCCATAAAGCATGACGGAGAAGGAATTTTCACTGAACACCACAGTAATTAATGAACTCGCTCACATTACGGAAGTCCTTCTCCTTCCTAAGGCCATTTGGTCAAACACCTCAACTCCCAATCTCTCAGGCTCAGCACAGCTGGTGTCAACAACTGGGTTCCATTTTCTATGACCATGGCACCCTCTTCAAGGACCAACCACTACTTGGTAGAGCTGGGATCAACCTGACAAAATGGAGTAAAGGTATCGTTGCTAATAGTATGGCCAACCCAAAGGCGGCTGATCTTTAAGAGAAATAAGCAGCTATGGGACTTTCATTGTATTCAAAGATTGCTGCAAATATTGTGCATCTTTGATAACCAGAGTCCCAAGTTGTGATAGTAGTTGCTTAATTTCTTCGCCTTGGCTTAGCCCTGAGATTCAAATACAAACAGCTGAAATGGTCCTTAATAACGAGATGTGAATCTATACAGTACAGCAAATCTAGAGAGAAGCTAAGTCATTATTTTAATGATAAAACCATATTGACTCGAGAAACTGCAACAAACTCTTCTTTTGGATTTTCAACATGGCAGCTTTGCTTTTGTCTTTATTTTTACTGGGCTAGTAACGGTATTACTCAGAACAAAATAAAGCTCTATTTACAACAGTTCAGAAACTTATATGCGTTAAAGTGCATCAGTGCTGATAGTGCATATTACCAGTAGGAGGAAATATATTGCAAAATCATAGCAATCTGTATATCTAATTAAGCATTAGAAATTCAAGAAGCTCAGAATTAAATGATCCTAAGTGGAAAACTAGTGCAAACTAGCAATGAGCTAGCGACCCACCTGGCAGCTAACCCGAGCGGGCAGCAGCCTGTGCTGCGCTGTGCTGCGTTACGCTGCAGGCAGAGCTCGGCCCTCAGGCCTGCCTGCCTTTAGGCTGCACGTGTCCTTTGGCCACAGGATAAATGTAGGTGGCTAATCCTAATGGAGGAGCTCCCACTTGGTACTGGGGCTTGCAGCTCCTGCAGGTCCTTGTCTTTATCTTAAAGTGAAGCAGTGAGTTCTCGTGGGAATATCCTTTTGTTTGACAGTGGAAATGAGGAATAGAATTATTTTCTGCTAATAAGATCCTGTAAGAACTCTAAAAACCAAAATGCCAATGAACCTCTGCATGGATGGGATCTGTACCACATGCTGTCTTGTGCTGTGCCCTGACTGATGTCTGATGCTGCACCACTCAGAGTTCCTGGCATCTGATGGGACATAAGATTATCTATCCTTCTTGTGTAAGCTCCAATAAATGATATTTTAAGCTCTACCTTAAAGAGTCTGAGTGCCTTTCTAACTGGGATCATTATGAACATTAGCTCTGGCGCACAAATCACAGAATCCCAGAACAGTTGAGGTCGGAAGGCACCTCTAGAGATCATCTAGTCCAAACCCCTGCTCCAACAGGGACACCTAGAGCACGTGGCACAGGGTGGCATCCAGGCGGGTTTGGAAGATCTCCAGAGAAGGAGACTCCACAACCTCTCTGGGCAGCCTGTTCCAGGGCTGGAAGATCTCCAGAGAAGGAGACTCCACAACCTCTCTGGGCAGCCTGTTCCAGGGCTCTGTCACCCTCACAGGAAAGAAGTTCTTCCTCATATGGAGATGCTGTACACTCAAAAAATATTACCATCTGCAAATGCTCAGTAAGGTGTACGGTCACGCTTCCACATAGGCAATTGAACTAATACATAATACATTTTCAGTCAGAAAGTCCAGTGCCCTCTTGCCCTAGGGTAGAGGGGGTGGACTTAACAGTTTCCAGGGACGGCCAACAATGGAAACGGGTCCCCACTCGAGGTGGCAGAAGATCCCCTCCACAGCCCACCTCACCTCCACCGGTGACCACGTTCAACAGGTACGAGGCCCTGGAACATGTGAATCCATACAGATTGTTTATTAAAACATAGATGAAACATTTTGAGAATCTGATGTAGCTTAATGTCTCAAAATACACTAGAAATAGACATATTAGACTTTTGTTGATCTAAATGTGCTGCCAGAAATAAAAGCATCTCCCATTACGACATATGCATTAGCAATGACACACAAAAGGAAAACTCAACTCAATTTCTGAGTGATAAATTAGACATTGTGTGTGTGAATAATGGCCTTGTCAGAATAATTATCTCCCTTAAGTAAGAGCAAAGTTTTATGTTATTTTAGAAAATCTGAATATGGCCAACAGACCCCAGCAGTACTCTAGGAGATTCAAGAATATCATATCTAGACTTCAAAATGTAAAATTGTCACTCATGATTGAAAGCCAAACGGGGAAGCAGATTGAGTTCGTGCAGCAAGTACTGCACAGCTTTGACTTTGATTTTCTCTTTTCTTTTCTTTTCTTTTCTTTTCTTTTCTTTTCTTTTCTTTTCTTTTCTTTTTTTTATGTGTTTTTAACTGTCTGCTCATCAGGTTATCTTTGATAATTTAACTGTATAAAAGTGCTCGAGACCTCTAAAAACCATTTATGGGTAAGAGGTGGCAATGATAGGCAAAAAAAGAGGAAACTGCATGACGTACCACTGTTGATATTAAAAAAAAAAAAAAAAGCCACCAAGATGGAACTAATGCCTGATTTAGTTGCAGGAAGATTAATTAAGTCTGACACACATCCAGTAATAAAGAAATCTCACCGGACAAAGGAAACAAAGAAGCATCAGACAAATGGAAAAGAAGTCTCAAAAGCCCTTCCTTCGCCTTGCAGACAGTGATGAACAGATAACACGTCCATCCACACAAATTTATTCTCCTCAGAACCTCTCTGAACAGAAACTTGCCCGAGGAAAGCACACTGATGCTGAAGCGGCCAACAGGGAACAGCACCTTTACTGCCAGCTTGTTTATTACTAAAGCTGTGAGTCACCCCCTAAGAACAAAATTTAAAAAAAAAAAAAAATCTTTGTTTTCTGAGATTCTAGAGTTCAGTTTTTGCTTGCAAACTTTTCTGCAGCCGAGAGGTCTGCTTAGAACTGAAGAGCCCGGCAGTTGTGCGGGCGTCAAGCGCACCCCGACGCGCCGCGGCCCCCGCCGTAACGGCGGTAACGGGGCGGCGGGCGGGAGGGGCAGTTAAAGCACATAAGGTGTTTTTCTCGTGCACACGAACCAGCCGAAGAGGCGGTATTTGGATATTTACATTCTGTATTTTATTTTATTTATTTCATTTCCGTCCCCGCGCCCCATCACCACGGCTCCCCCAAGCGCTGCGCGAGGGCCGCGCGATGGCGGCGGCGGGAG